TGGAATTATGCAGCATTGGGCGTATGAGTGCAGGGTAGGAATGTCCAAATGGGGGGGTAGGTGGTACTTCAGGAGAATTGACAAGGGGGAGACCGTATTTTAGAAGAATTGACAAGGGGGAGGAATACATGTAATAAGGGAATAAATTGTAGAGAGATGACATGACGCTGAACTCAATAGACCTCATGTAGCTACTTTTACGAAACTTGAAGTTCGTGAGGCAATCGTGTACAGTAAAAGAGCAAAAGGTGAAGAAAGCAGAACCAGGCCCAACAGTAGAAATTGTGAAAAAAGGGTATCAATCCAGACGTGGGCATAGAGAACATGACACCAGACCGAAATAGGGGCCGGGCCTGGTCCAGATCGCAGACAAAATATTCACGGGGTGCCAGGATTTTGGAATGAGATACCATGATATCTGAATCAATCAAGAGTGCTATGTAGACATCCAGATAGGCGGACGAAGATACCAGAACCGCCCAGACTTGTCAAGCAGATAGGGCGTCGAGTCCAGACAGTGAGGCACGCGGTTAACCCAGTTAGGAAAGGGCAGGATTTAGTATTGGCATCAGGATAGAGAATGGAAGGAGTTAGGTAGTTACAGTGCGATGTGCTCAGGTGCCAGGGGGTTGGGACAATAAGGAGGTAAGGCATAGACAGTTCGGACAGAGTGGGCGCCAGGAGCAATGCCCAGATGGGAGCAGGGGGTAGCAACGAGAAAGAGTGGAGTTTGGGCACTAGGACGCCGTGGCGTCGCATCCTGAGTCATGGTTTCGGTCCTGTGCATCCTGCGCATCAGACGCACAGGATGCACAGGATGCAAGCATCATTTTTTGCTGAGGTGCCTGAGGAATCAGGCGTCAAAGTCAGCACTGTACCAGGACTGCACCAAAACTCTACTGGGGTAAAAACCCCTTTTATACCAGGCTGTAGCTCTACCAATACTGGAGCCGAGTAGATGTTTGAAACACCGTTGAAAAGCTAGTGTTGAGTACAATCAGGCAACCGAGTCATAGATACTGTGGCTAATGGACACTGGAGGAATCTGGTGTCAAACTCAGGCCTCCTCCAGAACTGTGCCACTATAAAGACCCCTTTCGTAACAGTCAGTAACTCAAGTAATATTGGTGCTGGGTAGATATCTGAGGCACTGTTGGAGAGCTGGTGTCGAGTGGAATGAGGCTGCTGAGTCTCAGAAACTGCGCCTAAAGGACGCTTGAGCAATCTGGTATCAATATCAGCACTCCGCTAGGACTCTACTAGGGTAAAGACCCCTTTCGTAATAGGCTGCAGCTCTACTAATATTGGCGCCGTGTTGAGGTCTAGGATACCATTGGAAGGCTGGGAACATGTGAAATCGGGGCCCCAGAGTATCAGCCATTGTGCCTAAAGGACGCCTGCAGAATCTGGCATCAAAGTTAGTACTCTGCCTGGACCCAGCCAGAACACTACCAGGATAAAGACCACTTCCATAACAAGCTGTAGCTCCACCAATATTGGCACTGGATAGACATCCAGGGTACTATTGGAAAGGTGATGTCCCATAAAATCTGGCCACTGAGCATCAGATGCTGCGCCAAAAGGCCGCTATTGGAATCTGGCATCAAAATTATTACCCCACCAGAACTCCGCTAGGGTAAAGATCACTTTCATAACAGGGTGTAGCTCTACTGATATTGGCACCGGGTAGATGTCAGAGGTACCATTGGAAAGCTGGCATCGAGTAGAATCAGGCCCCAGAATCTTAGACTCTACACCAAAAGGACATCCAAGGAATCTGATATCCAATTCAGCACAAAGTAAGAACTCAACTAGGGTGAAGACCACTGACATGACAAGCTGTAGCTGCACCAATATTGGCGCCAGGTAGACGTTCTTAGTACCGTTGGAGGGCTGGTGCTGAGTAGAATCAGGCCGCCGAGCCACTGATGCTCCACTCAAAGGATGCCTATGGAATCTGGTGTCAAAGCCAGCACATTGCCAGAGGTCTGCTAGAACCATGCAAGGGTAAAGACCACTTTCATAACAGGCTATATGACTACCAATACTAGCGCCAGGTAGTTGTCCTGGATCCTGTTGGAAAGCTGGGATCAACTGGAATCGGGCCACCAAGTATCAGATCCTGCACTAAGGGAGAGCCCCAGGAATCTGGGATCAAACTGACACCCCACCACAGATTTGCCAGGGTAAAGCACACTCTCATAACAGGCTGTATCTCCACCAATATTGGTGCTGGGTAGAGATCCAAGGTACCTTTGGGAAGCTGGTATCAACTAGAATCAGCCCGCCGAGTATCAGATGCCACAGGCAATGAGCATCTGATGAATCTGGCATCAAACCCAGCACTCTACCAAAGCTTTGCCAAAGGTCTGCCAGGGTAAAGACTACTGTCATACCAGGCTGTAGCTCTACCAATATTGGTGCTGGATAGACGTTCAAGGTACCGTTGGCAAGCCGCCGCCGTGTTGAATCAGGCTGCCACATATCTGAGGCTTTGCCAATAGGATGCCCAAGGAATCTGGCTTCAAAATCAGTACTCCGCCAGAATGCAGCCAGGGTAAAGACCACTTTCATGATAGGGTGTAGCTCTACCAATATTGGTATGGAGTAGATATCCAAGATACCATTGGAAGACCACTGTTGCATAGAATCAGGCCACTGCGTATCAGACACCTTTCCTAAAGGATGCCCGAGGAATGTGGTATCAAAATTAGTATTTACCAGAACTCCGCCACAGTAAAGACAACTTTTATAACAGGCTCTAGCTCCACTAATATTAGCGCCAGGTAGACGTCTGTGACACCGTTAGACAGCAGCTGTCACATAGAATTAGTCCGCCGCATATCAGCTACGTTGCCTCCTGGATACCTGCGGAATCTGGTGTCAAACTCAGTACTCTGCATAAACTTTGTCAAGGTCAAGGCCACTTCCATGACAGGCAGTAGATCCACCAGTATTGGTGCCAGGTTGATGTCTGAGGTACCGTTGAAAGGCTGGGATCGAGTAGAATGAGGCCACCGCGCATTGGATGCTGTGTCCAAAGGGTGCCTGAGGAATTGCGCTTCAAAGAACCTTGCCTACTGGAACTACCAGCACTGGTAAAGAAAACAACAAAGTCTAGAATGCAGGGGAGGCAGTATGCAGGGAACTGGTAGGGGGACAGGCTGGTAGGGGGGTGGGGGGCTGGTGGGGGGGCAGGAACTGTTAGCCGTGTAGTAAATGGGGAGCAGCTGACAGTTGTGTTTATCACTGGGAATCTCAGGATGGTAACTTGTCCGCATCGCTCACTTAGGATGTAATCTGGAGGTAGTACTTCCTAGAATAAGCACTAGGACACAACCTGACTTGGCGCCCAACTTCCAGACAGCCAGGAGGCAGCCAGACCCAGCGCCCAAGTACCAGACATGCAGAACATGCCAGATGCCGAATTCTCCCTGCTTGTATTAGGATGTACTGCCCGGGTGTCTGACACTCGAATAATCTTTGCTCCTGAATCGATGTTCCGTCAGGTTCTAATAACAATATGTCGAAAACACTGTAGACTTTTCCTTCTGTGGAAATTTCCAACTTGTAAGCTTGGTCATCTTGTTTCTTGAAAATCTAAAAAGGCCTATAAAGCTGAGAACTGAGTTCTTTTGATGACTGCTTAGTTTGGATATTCTTTACACTCAGCCTTACTTAGTCACCAACCTGAAAGTATGATTGTTCTATAGCTTCCCAGTTGGAGTATTTGGCCTTTGCTTCTCGTGCAAGCTGTAATATATTATAAGCTTGTTTATGTGTCATCTTGATCCAGTATGCATAGGTAGTTGCTCCTGAATTTCATACTCCTCTTTCAGTCATCCATTCAGTCTGTAAATGATAGCTATAATTAATGTAATATGAAGGTAATTGATGTACTTAGGTTCCCAGGTTATTGTAGGCATGCTTGGCGAAAAGGTAGGAGAGAATACTAGGCATCCTGGTTGTAGTTGATGAAACTTCACAGACAACCTTCCAGCACTTAGTAAGTTCTCTCAGTCTGTCCATCAGTTTAAAAGTAATATGTAGTTAACATTCTCCTCTTAATTCCTAGTGTTGTGTATAAGGATTCCCAGCATTCTCCTGCAAATTTAGTGTCCATATTTGAAACAATTTCTTTTGGCTACCTGTGAAGTGTGGAAACTTCTCATGTGACTGTGGTTGCCAGATCCTTGGCACTGGCAGTTCCTGGTACTAGAATAAAATGAGCAATTTTGGTAAATCCATTGACAACAACTTTAATCTGGGTGTTTCTGTTTAACGCAGGAAGTTGGATGATAAAATCTGTAGGGATCAGAGTCCATACTACGAAACGTATTTGTAACAGTTGTAGGAAACCATACTTTGCATATCTTAGGGCTTTGCTATATTGATACTTATTGCATGAGTGAACATAGTCATTTACCCAATCACTAAGCCGTTTCCAAAAGAAATCTCTTGTGATGATTTCTAATATCGTTTCTTGTCTGAAGTATGCAGCAACTTTTAAGTCATGACAGCTTATTGCAATCAAGGTTTAAAGTTTCTCCAAGATTGGTATGTATAGTCAGTTCTTGAATTGGATCAATCTGTCTTTTGTTGACCAGTTCTTAGGCCATTGTCCGATGACATCTTGTAACTTTTCCAATTCCTTTCTTCACAATTCCCAGTCTTCATCTTGACTTCTGGCCATTTTCACCAAAGTCACAAACTCCTCATAGAATATCATGAGATTTGAATTAAGCACTACCCTAGTTCCTATGACCACTGATTCTTTATGCGGTTGTTCATAAGTTCTTTCATCAGTTCAGGCGAAGTATTTATTGAGGTTTGCCTCCTCCTTTAAGAGGCTGATGTGTGATATGGTTTCCAGAATCCTGGTCCCAGTACTACCAAATCCTTGGTCTCCTCTTTTCTGTATTATCCAACCCCATTTGTTCATGGAGTTCACCCATGTGAATCTTTTCTAAGATTAACTGAGCTATCTTACTACCAGCTCAGACTTTGTAATTTTTTGCATGCATATTGTAAAGAAGTACCTTCACTTGCCCAGGATAATCTGGATCAGTGACAGCGGCTCCTGTATTAATTCCGTGTTTTGTTGTCAGGCTACTTTTTGAAGCAATATGTTCTTAAAGTCTCTTAAGTACTACAATTAGAATTACTGTTTCAAGTAGGGCTTATCCTTTACTAGCTACAACTACATCTATTAACACATACTGATCATAGCCAGCTGCCTTGTTCATACCTTTAGTTGGCATTTTGGCTTTGAGACATAGTCACATTGTGCAGAAAGGTTTTGAGTAGAGTTTCATAATATACTGTCCTTGTTTTCAGATCTCCAAACGATTGAGATTGTAATAATGTTGAAGGGTGCTGGTTTCAAAATGAACTGCTCAGTTCGATCAGCTCCTTCCTCTGAGTGGTACTCCAGCCGCCTACTTAACATATTGGGTTTGCCACCGCTCATGCCTGGTTAAAAATAATTTTAACATTGTAATCTGTTAACTTTTACATCATGCAAATTTGCCATGTGCTTCAGGTTTTGGTGGTGAGGAAGTACTATAGATTCTGGTGGTCTGTATATATGATAACAGGATGATCTGTTCCCATCAAATAATGTCACTATTCCTGGAATACTTCGACAATAGAACATAGTTTATTGTCCTGAATGTTGTAATTGTGTTCTACCAGATTCAATTTTTGAGAGCGGCAGGTAATGGGGTGAAGGGCGTTCACAGAGAATTGAGAGAGAATGTAACTTAGAGGGAAATCGCTTACATTGGTTTGCACTACTGAATCATAGTCAGGATTGCAATGGCGTAGTATTGGTACTGTAATAAATTTGTCTTTCAACAACCCAAAGGATTTGTTTGCTTCTTCCATCTACATCAAACCCTTTATATTTACCTGCCACAGTTCCATAATAGCTGTGCAAATAGCTAAAAAGCTTTTTATAAGTCATAGGTAAAAGTTTGCAAAACCTATAAATATCTGAATATTCCTAATCGATCTTGGTAGTACCCCTTGCTTGATGGCTTTTACTTTCCCATAACTGATGGATATGCCAGAGCTTGATATAACATATCCTAAAAATTACAACTTATTTATATGGAATAACGTACCCGATCGGGAACTTGAAGGAGGCCACGATTCCGAAGCAGGCCATGGACGCTGAGCTGAAAAAAGGTGTTGATAAAGAGTAAAAGGCCATGATTCTGTAAATAAAAAGTATCAGCAATTCCCACCATGGGTTGAGTTAAAGCAAGAAAAGAAGACCTTTTTGAAAAGACAATTGCTCAAGCAATTCAGGCCTTTGATAGAGGGAATTACCCCTCAGTAACAGCTACAGCACAGGCATTCGACCTTCTGAAATCAACTCCTACATGTCGATTAAAAGGAAACTGAGTATTCCGTCATATAGCCCATATTGAGCAACAGGTCCTGACACTGGTTGAGAAGAAGGCGATTGTGCAATGTATAAAACAGTTAGATGATTGGGGATTCCTGCCATGGTTGGATATGGTAAAGGGAATGGCATGGATGTTAGCTGAAAAGAAGAAAGAAAACCTCATTAGATATAAGGACCCTATGTTATAGAGCTATGGCAACCTAAGTCTATACCCATACATAAGACCAAGAGGTCAGATGGTAGACTAGGCGGGTATGCAGACGCATATCCAAGGGGTATCTTATGGTCCAGATATTTCTAGGAACAGAAGGTACTTAAGGAATAGGTGTATCTAAGTAGTAGTAGTAATGTGACAATGTCCACTCTGGCCTATGGATAGGTCAGAGGGCCGGATAAGTTTACCCTGTCAAAGGACATCATGTTACCCTACAATGGAGACCAGTTTTGTGTTACCATGAATATACTTACCCAACCTTTAGGACACTATTACCCTACCTTCCATCGGAACTATTCTGGGAGGAATTTCGGGAAATGTTAGGATTGTTAGTTACCCAAGGACGATCGATGGGCACTTGCTTGCACCTTGATCCAAAGGCTACGGGAGGGGCTATAGTGCTCCGAACATGCTGTGACTTAGCAGGATTATTTCTCACAGGTACCTGCGGCCCCAGGATTCGCCCCGGGCGTCATGTGCCAAAATGGGTGGAGTTGCTCTCTTACTAGTTAAATGGAGTCTAGGAAGACATGTCCATAACACTGTATATGTCGCTGCCGTCCATCCGACCGGAAGCTGTTCTCACGATATATAAGGTGGCCAAGGTGAGAAGGTCACATACCTTCTCCAAAACGAACCATGTAAAACGGACCAAAACTAACGGAGTTAGCGTAAGCTATCCGGAAGGGTCCCCAGAGTAGTCCCGAGTAGTGCCGGAGAGATCTGGGAAGGTTTTACACCAATCAAGCTTACATGTGCCCCTTTGCCATAGGCTATTGGTAGGTGGTTTAAGGATTCTAATAGCATGATACTTATCATGGTAAGTGGTGTGCCACGGGTAAGGGACCATGGGTAGTGCCTGCGGGTCTCGCCGCCACTGCGGCTCTCTGTGTGAGTGTGCAAGATCTTCTTGGTTCGCAATCAACACAGATAGAACTTAAGCGGAAGACAGCTGATATCTACGGGAGCTTTCATAGGTCACCACATATGGGAAGAGAGTCATTTAGTTAGCTTTCCTAGGCCTGTCAACAGTTAGCTACTGGCGAGACACTGATGCGCAGAGGTTTTCACTCCAGCAGGTCTATTGGTAAACACCTCGCAGGAACTGAGGTGCATACAGGAGAATTCTGCTAGAGTGCGCTGACACCCTAGGCCCTTCGTGGACGTGGTAATGGTGCCGGGGCAACCCTTACAGAGAAGGGCATACTCGTGTTGGTCTGGGTAACATGATAGAGGATCTTTTAGTATAAGTCTGACTACCTAAAGATTATACGAGAGCTCTCCTACCCTGACACAATCAATATCCTCTCGAGAGACTTAATTAAGATAAGACTGAGCTTAACAATATTAATTGTTACAGTTTACTTTCATTCTTTACATTTTGCAAGAGCTGTGTTCGAGAGATTCGAAGTTTGGTGCGGTCGCATTCTTAGGAACCATCTACCTGAGAGAGCCCCTATCATATCAGAACAGAAGGAGGGAAACTATGGATTATCTACTCCCCAAATTGATATCCTGATATTGCCACCCGGTATAGTGGTAATCTGGACTGTCACTGTACATATGCGAGCGATCCGAGTAAGATCATGGACTAGTTTTGCAAATTTACGTGTATTCAAATCACCAACCACCTTCAACAAGAATATATTTACAATATTGACGAGAAGGGCTTTATGATGGGAACGTCAGTAAGAAGCCAGGTAGTTACAAGAGTACGGAGGCGGAATCCTAGAGTTACCCACCATGGACAAAGAGAGCTGATTATGGATCTTGAAACGATATGTAGTGACAGGACTTCAATGGCACCATTTTTGATTTTCAAGGCAAAAGCAGGCCATTCAATGGGATGGTATGCAAGTCTTGATGATTCTGAAGTACTCTTAGCCTACTCAAATAAGGGGTAGACTGATGACTATTTTGGTTATAAATATATCTCCCAGCACTTTATCAAATTTGAGCATCCTTCCACTACCTCCAACCATAGACGTCTTCTCATCCTCGATGGTCACTTCTCCCACATCAATTGGGATTTTTGTATGTTCTGTTTAGAACGTAATATAATTCTCCTCTGTCTTGTGGCTCATTCTACGCATTTACTACAGCCTCGGGACGATACAGTTTTCAGTCCTCTACAGCATTGATACAGAGCTGCAGTCAATGATTTCTCTCCATACCAAGGCGGAGGAATTTATAAAGGTGTATTTTGGCCTTTGTTAAAAAAGGCACGTAGTCAGGCAATTACATTGGACAATATTCTTGCTGGATTTCGGGCATGCGGATCGATTCCCTTCTGCCAAAAGGTGGTTCTTGACCAGCTTCAACTTTCTACTGCTGCTTCTAGTAGTAGTCTACAACGCCAAAACCCCACCACTCCATCCAAGCTCCTTCAAACTCTATCCAAAAGTACAGATTTCTGATGTGAGACTAAGAAAGTACTTGCAGCTATTGGAAATGTCTCAAAGGAGGAACTGCAAAGACTTATATCTCATTTGGGTGAGCTTGGAGCAGCAGCTCTAGCCAAATGCCAAATTGCAGTAGAGTGTCATCAGATGGACCCACAGAAGGCTATTTCAGTTACCCAAAAAGGTGATAGACATCGCCTAACTACTGTGCGAGTCATTGATAGTGCTGAGGCAATGCGTCTTTATCAAATGCGTGATAAACCTGACACCAACAAACGGTTTCAAAAAGCAAAGCAAACCCCCGTGCATACCACAAAAAAGACAAAACCATCTCAAATTACTACACCCTGTATTCGCCAGCACCGTGTTACCTTTATATCACCCTCCACATCACCTATTCTCACCTCTTCCTCTCCGGAAAGCATCAATGTCATCAGTGACAGTGATAAGATTGAACTCTCTCCCACCTCACCTACTCCACCACCCCGCGATCTCTGAAAACCACCTTTTATTATCCCCCTAGCTACTCCTACCAACCGGCGACTACCTACAGCCCCTTTTGGTATGCTCTTACGCAATTCTAAGCCTTAAAATTCTTTCTTTCCTTTTTCTTCTTTTTTCTTGTTAAATTTCTCATTTTTCCTGGTTTTTCCTTCCTATTTCTTTTTTTGTTTTTTCATGAATGTGGCTTCAACTGGTTCTCCTACTCTTTCTCTATTGATCTCTTTTTGTTTGATTCTAATTGGGTTGGAATTAATTGAGTTGTGACCTTTTTTACTACTTTCCTCTGTTGTCCCGCTTCTGTGTCCTGTCCCGCTTCGCCGTTGGGTACATCACTGACTTTTTTAGTGAAATAGTTAATAGCAATGCGGTGTGGAAGGCTGGTCAAGTCTAAGGAAAAAATGGAGTGTATGATAAAACAACACCAATAAGAAGCTGATGGGAGATGCACTTGGTGAGGATGGGAGAGGAGAATGTGATGATGGGAAACTCAGGAACTATGTTCAAGGTGGTGTAACATACAAGAAGGCAAGAAAGAAAGCCAAACCACAACTAGATATACCATGTGATAGCTATGCTCATAGAGGGCTAGCCATCATACA